GGCCCACCCAGTCTCCTATACAATGCGTACCAGGGGTTCTTCTTCCGGGGGTAAAGCAGCCGGAGCGTTAAGTGCCGAGGTCTAGAATACACTGATCTATATAGCTACTCCCCGTACATCTTCATGGCATAGTGATTAATTAGTTAAGAACAGTAAAGTAAAGTAAATTAAGTAAAGGTATCCCTGTAACAGGCCGTGAAGGCCCGTAGTGTTTGGAGATGTTGAGGTTCCCACGTTTTCTAGAAAATCGGCTCATAGATGGTGGTAAGGTTGTCAGACTTACGCGCCGGCCGCCCTTTACCGTCAAGAATATTCCTGGTTCAAGTCCCGATGAGGTCATTGGATTTTTATCAATTGACCTAATCCTTCCAGCCGCACTATGGCCCTGGGATCGACTCAGCCTCTAACAGAAATGAGTACCAGGAATTAATTAATTTTCCTGGAGAGTAAAGCGCGGCCGGCGCGTAAGGCTGACAACCTTACCGCCATCTTTGAGTCGATTGTCTAGATAATGTGGGACTCTCAACGTCTCACAACCCTATGGGCCTGTTACAGGGATAGATTTACTTTTTTACTCATTTCTGTTAGAGGCTGAATTGACCCCACGGCCATAGTGCGGCTAAAGGATTAGGTAAATTGAAAAAGCCACCTCATCGGGATTAGATCCAGCGACCTTCCGGGTTGTAGCATAGTGCCTCATCTTAAGCACAGGCACTACATTTTTACCTGTTTCTAATGCTTGTTGGTCATAGGCTACATTTTCATTTCAGTACAATTGGAGACGAAATGGGATTACGAACAATTCTGTCTACTAGGATATAACGTTGTCCCTCGGACTACAGGGCATTATATCCCGGAAATAAAATTTTTCTTAAAAAAATAACTGTATGAATCTCATGCTCTACGAATGGGATTACGTGATTCTAGATTCGACATTTTCATAATTGCCATGCAGATTAATAATGTTTATTATCTGCTCCTCAAGTTCGGTTTGATATTTATTATTATTAAATAGTGAAACATTTTCCTGTTACCCTAACCATTAACAATGCCAAGCATTCTTATCTTAATGCCACGTATATTTGAGTTCATTTCCCAGACTTTTCGTTCAAATTGGATGAAATATTGCTTACGTAGTCTCTATTAACCACTTTACGGGGTTAACAATCATTCTGCCTGCTGTGGAGGAAGTTTCGATACCAAAATTTATGTTAACTGTTTCGGTTATTGGGGTACAATATTTGTTCGCCAGAATATGAAAGCACATTAGAATCATTAACAAGAACATAATTATACAAACGAAATATTACACAGATACCTCTTTCCACACCGCTGAGACTGATTGCTGAGTGAAAGCGAGTGTGACTTCTCATACACGAACAATGAAACAAAAAAGAGATAGACGACAGGAAGCTGCACAGATTCATACACGTTCCTTTGTGTTCACCAGCCCAACATCCGTCTCGCTTTACACTTCTTGTAGCAGCAGGTCAAGGAAGAACTGCATTCCCCCCCTCCCCCTTCGTTGAGTACAAATGTGTCGAGACGTGTTTTCGATTGTTATATGTGAAGCAATCGCATATCAGCGGCACAGGCGACGAGATGGCTTAAGGGGAGCGGGGTGTAAGTGCTCGTGGACAGTAAGCGCATCTTTCTGGGTGGCAATGAATTAAACTGTAATAAGAAGACGACGTTAACAGGAGCAGCAACAACAATAACAATACTTCTATAGGTTATGCAAAGGCTGGCTGTGAGCTGGAAGCTAAAAAAGTGAGGGGTGGGGCGAACACCAGCACATTGAAGGAGATTTCGAATGATGAATAGAAAAATCAGTCTTAAAGTGTAGGCATCATTTTTAGTTATACCAAGTTGTGGGGTTAATAAGACTAAATGAGTACCTTTTACGCAGAATTAACACACTGAAGATCCCCAGTGATACAGTTTATTATCCCTGTCTTATGCATGTCACAGATATAAAATCCTAAACCGCGTACTCGCCTTCAGTCACACATGCCTATTTTTTTATTCCTCTTTGCTCCCACTTTGGAGCTTAGGGCTGATTTATAAGTTTCATTGATCATTTTTACAGACGGTAGGACTCCTTGGACGGGTAATCAGCTCGTCACAAGGCCTCTACATAAACACAGGACAACACAAACACAGAATAAACGCATACACACACCAAACATCCATGCCTTGTGTGGGATTCGAACCCACGATCTCGGCTTCTGAGCAAGCGAGGACAGTAGTACATGCCTTAGGCCGTTCGGCTACCGTGGCCGGCTATATATGACGAATGGCGACTTTAAAAATACATTGGTGTACAATATATTTATGTAAATGAGTTTCCTGTTTTAATTTATATGATGACGGTAACATGTAAATAACTCTCGACTTCTAAGGAAGACCCTCTGTCATTAGGATGCGAAGGACAGTATGAATGTGCTTGAGAACTTGTCCTAGTCGCAATAAAGAACCATGTGTATGTTTTATCTGCATTTACACATTTTCTCACCGAACGTAGTAGTCCAGACTGCCATAACGTATTCTGGAGGCTTTAGGGTCGGTCTTTAACTGAGGGCCAAATGTATTATTTCCATGGTTTGTCTCAGTCCCTTCTTGTGAATGTGGAATAGTACAACCCAAAAAGAATATTCCAAAACCATTTCCATAGTCCACATTATATTATTATTATCATTCGTATTACTTACTGTTCCGTTCTTCATTACTACATAATTTCTGTACGACACAGCTCCATTCATATAATTCTAAGGGAAACTATTTTATGATTAGCGGCGGATGCAAGATCTCGATTAGTAACAAGCGGCTACGGTGAATCGTTATATTATCGATTGATGTGCTTGTTCGAAAATTCATCAGTAGATGGCAGAGCAAGGTCAACCATGGCTCACCAACCATGCTAACAAAGCGTCATCTCTGGCGCCAAAATTGAAACTGAGTGTGCATGTAGGATTTGAGGTTCTCGCAGAGGTGGTTATGAGGAATTCTGTCTTCTGGGTTATCATGCCCTGTTGCCTGCTGAATATCACTGTTATCAACTTCATGCAATCTTTTATTTTTCAATATCCTTCCCTCAAGATTAAGTTCATACACGGACGAAATTACTGGGGATCATCAGTGTGGGTTTCGATTTAAGAGAACTACTACTGATGAGGTTTTTCGCAGTCATCAGATACTGGAGCAAAGAATGGGAGTACAATGAGCCAGTACATAAGATATTCGTAGACTTCAAGAAAGCCTATGATTTAGTTAGGAGGGAAGTAGTATACAGTATTCTCCTAGAGTCTGGGGTACCCATGAAACTATAGTTAAAACACGCTTAAATGAAACCTATAGTACAGTCCATGTGGGTAAACATTTGTCTGATATGCTTCCTATCCAAAATGGTCTAAAATAATGAGATTCTTTATCCCCATTGCTTTTAGACTTTGCTTCGGGATGTACCACTAGAAAGGTCCAGGATAACCTGATAGGACACATCAGCTTCTGGTCTATGCTGATAATGCAACTCTATTGGGAGATAATATAGATACCATGAAGAAAAACAGAAAACGTAATTCTTGATAGTAAGGATGTTGGCCTAGATATAAACACAGAGAAAAATAGGTATATGTTGCTGTCTTGCCACAAGAATGAACAACAGAAATCTTACACAAAGATAGTTACTAGATCCTTAAAAATGTGGCACATTTCAAATATCTGGGAATGAAAGTAACAAATCAGAATTTGATCCAGGAGGAAATTAACAGGAGACTGAATTTGGGTAATGCTTGCTACCATTCAGCCCAGAACCTTTTGTCTTCTCATCTACTGCATAAAAACATAAAAATTATAATATACAAAACTATAATTTTGCCTGTGGTTTCTGTATAGGGGTGAAACTTGGTCTCTGAAACTAAGGGAGGAAAACAGGCTGAAAGTGTTTGACAATAGGGTGTTGAGGAGAATTCTTGGACCGAAGTTATAGGAGGCTGGAGAAAACTGCAAAATGAGGAGCTTCATAACTTGTACACTTTGCCAAGTATAATTATAATGATCAAGCCACAGAGGATCAGCTGGGCGGGGAATGTAGCATGCATGCGAGTGAGGAGTTATGCGGCTTGTTCTTATCTGGTTTTTAAAATCTGAGTTAAACAGACTGTGTCTTCCTTTGGGATAAACACATATTCCAACAGCCTGTTATCAAGAATACTACCATAGTCGATAAGTTCGTGGACTGGCAGCAAAGTGTCGTTGCAGTGCACTACAGTGGATAGGTTGAGGCTCGATATGATGCCCTGTCAGTTCATCTCTTGTCTCAGCAAGAGGCGGTTGTGTGCAAACGGTGTAAGCAGAACTATGGCCTCTATTGTGAACTGCAGTTAACTGCGAGTGGCGGAAATCGAAAATGTGGTAGTTTGAACAATGGGCAAACATCAAGTTCTGCCAAAAAGCAGGCGGGTCCCCTAGCTAAACATTTAACATGACGAATTGGCTGTTGCTACACAACAACCCCCCTGCACATCGCTCTGTTCTTGTCCAAGGGCAACTGGAAAGGCAACAGGTCACCGTTTTGCCACACCCTCCGTACTCACCTGATCTCGCACCATGCGATTTCTTTCTCTTTCACCGCTTGAAAGCAAAGCTAGGTTGTCGCAGATTTCAGTCATCCGAGGTCACAAGAGACGCTGGACGGGAATTTCCTACCAATATGTTTCAGCAATGCTTTCGGCAGCTATATCAACGTTGGCAGACTTGCATAGCAGCCAACTGTGACTACTTTGATGGCTGATGTGGATCTGTGTAAGTGTATGTGAATACCTTGTAATATGATGCGATAAAACCACAGTCCATGAACTTAACGACTGTACCACGTATATCAGATGCCTTAGCAACTTATAACTACAGCGATTAATTTTTCCAATATGAACCTCTAACTTTTCAAATCTGTCAATGGAACAGTATGACATCAACCATAGAAACATTGAAAAACAGATAGGTTAGGGAAGATTATGCAAGTGATATATTCTTTATTAAATGTAAAGGTTTTGCTCACAATCCTGCATTAACAAATGAACAGTAACTCAGTAATCGTATAGTAATATGGACTCTGCTGTAGTCCTAAATAAAACAAGCAAACCGAAAGGAAGTGAAAAATGAAATACAACAGAAATTAATAATTTTGTCTCCTCATTCTTAACTTGTGGTAATAACTGGCATTTTTAGACTCAGGATCTGAAAATAAGAAGAAATGTTCAATTAAAATGATCCGTTCATGTCATTTGGAGTGGTTTCACAGAAATGCTTATATTATATTAGTTAACCAACTGAGATGGGGTCATTTTATTAAACTTAAATTAACCCTCTTTATTGTAAAAAATAACAGGTATGAGATAACTGTAAAATAAAATAAAGTCCTCTTGGGTGATAAACCATCTAAGCAGCCAGCATTTCAGAGACTGTCTTTACCTCCAACTTCAGGGGCTGATGTGAAACACTGCATACCAACTTCATATCAGAACATATCATATCTGTGAGGACTTCATTACATACAGTCACAATGAAATCTCCAAATCATATACGAATAAGTTAATATTTAAGTACCTACCATTTTAATTAAACAGTTGCAGGGACAATTAGCATATCTGTATATTTACCTGCCCTGGATTAGTATGACATAACTTCCTAACTGACTTGTCTGTCATCAGTAAACACAGGCATTTTTGGTAGTCTTTCAAGAAGATGATTTATCTTATGTTATATTACATCGTATATATATATATATATCAGTAATCAGATCATTGTCAAGGATGTCTAGATCTCAAAAATACTGTATACAGATATGAATGGTCAGCTTCATGCTCTGGCTGATTTACTGTCAAGAAAAACATCAAATGGTTAAGTCCAGAGACAGTCTGGATATGATGGCTGAAAAGAACATTTCTAATATTTCTACAGGATTCAAACCCTTGACCTACAAACCATACTTAGTCACTTTACAGACTAAGCTATATAAAGAAATTTTTACTTGAAAGAACAGGAAAAAAGTAATTCCTGTACAAGAAAAATAAATACATTTTTATAATAGAAAAAGAATTGGAGAAAATAAGAATAACTGATGCAAAACTGAACAGATTTGGGCTGCCCGTGTTTCTTGGGACTGGAGGAGAACTGGCCAGTGCACTAGGAAAAACAAAGTAACTGCTTTTTGTGTTCCTGGTCACTCTTTTGAAGAAAACATTAAACTGATTGGAAAGTTGCCTGATGCCACCAACTCCTGCACCAGTGACCCATAAGTACGTATTTCACATCACTTGTACAATATTTACAACACAGATACAAATTTTTGAGAACCCCTTTTAATTAAAAATAATTTAATGGAGTCATTTTACCTTTGTATCAGTATTGAAGGTTGCAGAGCACCTATCCTGATCAACTGAATATGGAATGAACACATCGAGTTTGTAGGCCTGCTGGCCAATCCGTCCAGGACTGCCTAGTACGATTCGATCTTCTCCAACATCCAGTGTTAGACCATGGCTACTTGACTGTCACAGAAGATCATAATAATAATGTTCAATGAATTTCTTAATTACATATCTCACAAAGACTGTAAAAATTGTGAAGAGTATTGTATATTTGTCAGATTTTTTAATTGTTTTATGCAATTGATATACAGCTGAATCAAACGTGTCAAAATGAGAATGGTAGAGAGAGGGTTTTCAGAAGATGCGACTGTGGATATTTTTAACCTTTATCAGCTAAGTGTTGGACCAGCATATGCACATGTTTCAGCTGGCTTGGCATTGCATTTCTTTAATACTGTCACGATTTTGGGAGCATGACTATAGATGGGATATGGACTGATGAATGGAATTACTGACCACTTGCATACACCCCTCGGAACTACGCTTTACAGCTGGCTGACACACCCAGACTAGTGTTCTCAGTCTATTACAGTCTCCACTAGCCACTGCACTCAGGTCCTCTTGTAACAGCTGCCTGTGCAGAACCCTTGTCAACCGACAACTCAACTAACTGGGTCCCAGGCTGGTGGCTGTTCACACAAACCTCCTAGTCTTCTCTTCGCAGGTTGATTTTCAACTGAACTCACAACTGAACTCTCTCACTCACCAAGCAGCTACTTCATGTCACTTCACTCAAGTGAACTGCTGACAACTTCCACTCTGGAATTCAACTGACTCTGCTCATAACATTTTGGCATGAGCCACATAGAAAACACTTTATCCATTGTTATGGTCCAACAATACCTCGACCATTGCATGTGTATCCATTGCTGTGGGAACCCATTTACTGAGCAGTTGGCTAGTGACAGTCCAGGTATTGTTGATGTGTTTACAGACAGTTACTTAGAAGTGGGAGTTTCTTTATCTGCCTATTGCATGGCAATGGCCGCAATTGTTGTCCATTTGAAGGTTTCTCCCCAGAGAGTCTACATGCTACAGTACTGATACTGTTACCCTTTTTTTTATTGCTAGTGGGGTGGGACTAAGTCCCTTGTACTGTGGCCACTTCTGGCCTATTTTGCCAGCCCCAGATGATAGGTGAGGGTGATTGTGGAGCAATTGGTGGAATGAAGATTGGCAGGGAAAACCGAAGTACTCGGAGAAAACCTGCCCCAGCGCCACTTTGTCCACCACAAATCTCGCTTGACCAGACCCGGGATCGAACCTGGGCCACTGTGGTGGGAAGCCAGTGACTAACCGCTTGAGCTATGGCGCGGCCTTACTGTTACCCTTAGTTACAATCCAGACACCAACCATATAGTACTGTGGGATTTAAAACTGTCTATTCCTGCGGAATATGTCCGAGTGTGATGATGGGGCTTATTAGACTGACATGTATACCAGACATCATCCACTATCTTGCTTTGGGTGCAGAACTATGGCACTTTCGAAACTGATTCTGTCTGTCATCAGGCAAAAACAGAAAACTTTTCAGGTGGGCTCATTAGATGGAGTTGATATCTATTCTTGGATGAGAGAGGCTAAGATACAGGATTATTTTCAAGGGTTTACAACTTTACTGAAGTGAGATTTGTAGTTCTCACTTTGATGGTTATGAAGAATACTGGTAAAATCTTCTGGAATTTCCTGCCATGTAGTCTTGTAGAAGTTTACTCTGCTTGCTGTTTGCTTGTCTTACTGGCCTCGAAGATGGAGGCTGTGCACTCCTCCAAAACATCAATAAACTTCTATCAGACTACATGGCATCACATCACAGAAGAAAGAAATATTAAACTTTTCTCATGTGTGTGTGTGTGTGTGTGTTCTAAAATTTAATATTACAAATGAGCTTTGCAATCTGTAAAAATTGAAATGCCCTCCAACATACCAGGTCCTTCATAAAGAACTCTGCAAGCAAGTATTCTGGGAACGCAGCCTGTGCTGGCTCTTGTCGGATCCGGTATTGTGGCTGACGGCTTGATAGGAGTACAGGTGGTGTCATCTCTTGAATGAGGGGGCCTGCTGGTTTCTTCTGTCCTCCTTGTCTTATTCGATGAGGTAGTAGATTACCCAGTACCTTACGGTTCTTCAAAATCACATAGTCTGTAACAGTTTTATTCTAATCAATGGCATAACACTGAAAATTGGGCATTTGCCTCAGTTCTGATTACTTTGAGCCTTTCATGATAATCAACACACCTATGGCTTCTAGACTTGGATGACAGATATGCAAACTTCAGTGAGCTGTTTTCATAACAGTACCTCATAAACTGTGGTGGTTACTTAACGCTGAATAAAGCGGCCTCCGTAGTCTAGGGGTAACGTTCCTACCTCATGACTCAAGGTACGCGGGTTCAAACCCGGTGGAGGTCGTAGAATTTTTAAGGGTGGAAAAATTCAGGGAACAAGTCCTCCGGGAGGGACTTTAAGCTGTGGGTCCCGTATCATAGATTTATGGCATGTAAAAGATCCTCATGTCTCTAGCAGACCTCTGAGCAAAATTAGGCAAAAGTTTCCCACCCAAGTAGTTTCCAATGCCTCCGGTAGATGGGGAAGTATCAGGTACCATCGCCAGAAGAGGGCTGACCTCGCTGGCAGAATGGGGCTGATAGCGAGCACCAGTACTGGAAGGGTATGGCGACAGTAGAAATTAAAGGGGGACGCACAGTGGACCAATAAATGGTCTAAGTGCATGGGGAAACCCACCTCGTCTAATAATGAATGAATGAATGAATGAATGCTGAATAAGACATGGCACACTGTTTATAAATGATCAGTCTCAAAGGATGTGGCAGTGGCCATGATCAGTCCCAGTATTGACTTTGAGCGACTGAGGATAATTAAGAGGAACTTCACTTAGGTCAGCCAGTTGTCCAGATAAGAATCAAACCTGACCGTTTGGCTATTAAATGGATTAAAAATAACCAATCAAAATTTTTGTTTAACAAATTCAAATTAATATGGATCCCTGTCCGATATAAATGCAATGTCTGAGATGATTCATCCACTGGCAGGTCATTTAATACAGCAAACAGCTCACTGAAACCATCAGACTCCCTGGGAGAGACACACTTCCTACATGATTAAAGTTGTAACCTTCCTTACCATCTGTCTGAAGACTAAGACTGTATTTGTCCTTTAAGCCCTCCATCACAACAGTAAGGAGGAAGGAGAGGAATAATTTGCTGTTTTCTGTTTTCTTGTAGAATTCGGGATTGATGGCCACATCATAGGCAATAGAAGGGTTGCCAGCTGAAACAATAAAGAAGTGGATATTAATGGGAAAACTTCTTTGTTCAGAAAGTTCAAGAAACATGCTTCAATCACACCCTCCCTGCAAGGACCCAGTACATTCTTCCATTTTGTGCACTGTTCACTTCATTCCTTAAATATCAGAATGTTATCAAATTCAATTTAAAATATATTTCCCTTAAATTTCAAAGGAAATCAGATGCCAAGAGAACATGGTGATAAGTCTTAACTTCAAACTCTGAAGTCTGTCTCATAGATCCAGTGCACTGTAAGCCAATAAGTGTGGAGGCATAAAAACAGAACATAGTTCTGTTGGTATGTGCACAAATTCACAATTTTAAACACATAATTTTCAGCAGTACATCACAAAAAATACTCTTTTCTAGTCTACATGCTTTTTTTATGTGATTTTAGATTTCATGGTGATCCATGTCCATAAACATTACAAGACGTTAGATCCATCTACAAATAAAAATGAAGACTGTATACATGTTTATGCAGGATGTAGGGTGCTGGTTATAAAAAGTTCTATCTTCTGGGACATAACATCATGCAGTCTGCTGAAAATCAACTAACGATTTGGAGGAACATCTCACCTCCATATTCACTGTTGAAGAATAAGACAAACAAGAAGCCAGCATAAAGTAGGTAGCAGGCAGAGCATATTCCTCTGAAACATCAGCTAATTTTCAATGTACTACATACAATTATATCCTACAAGACAAAACTTTTTAAAACCACTGCTGTGAGAACCTCAGACCTTACACAGTTAGAGCACTGTGAAAACAGGGAAAGTAGTTCATTACCATGTTCACAAGAGCCCTCCACTGGTCCATAACCTGAGCCAGACCAATTCCATCCTGTATCTCTAAGATCTGTTTTATGCCTTTATTTATCTGATATTCATATGATACAATGATGATTAATGACATAAGAGCAACACAGTATTTCATCGGACACACATCTAATGCTACAGTTCTAGTACCTTTGTCAGCTTCCTCGTGACCGTCACCGATACTCATGGGTATTCTGAAAGAGGAGTGATCATCTGAGGACCATATCTTTACAAGTGATTCCTCATTGATATCCTCTGGAGCAGGCACATCAGATGTCTGACAGATGTTTATGAACACTTTACCTCCATCTTCGGTATGTGTCTTCACGCACATGCCTGGAACAATCAGTGTTAGAGATTTTATTTTAGTGAATGACGTAGACATACAATTTTAAGTCCAAATTCATGAGCTGATACTCTTGAAGCTGTTCATTACACTACCAATAAATTATAATGCTATTATAGTCATTTGTGCTTCTTCTGTCAACTCTCTACATAGTGATGCAGGAGCATGTCAGGTCCAAACCTGGGCAGAAATTCTCCTACTTTTTTGTGGATTCACGTGACTTATGGTGTCAGGATAGATTACTAACTCCACGTATGACAGACTTCTATAACTTATGGTGTGAGGATGGGGACTGTTAAATTCAATATCTGATAGGGTTATACAATGCAACTAAATCATTAACTCGATAGGAAACTAATAGTTATTCACTTAGTCAGTTAAGAAATTCGTCACTTTGTATAAATCCTGAAGTGTGTGTACAAGAGGCTGTCACTGCACCCTACCATGTCCCAGATTAATCCAGTCCAAATCCTCACCTCCTACTTAAGAGACATTTTAGTATTATCCTATTGTCTATTCTTAGGTCTCTCAGTCTCTTCCTTTCAGATTTCTTGACTTAATATTTTGTATGTATCTCTCTCATGCTTTCTACATTCCCTGCCTGTCTGATCTTCCTTGATCTGATCACCCTAACAACATCTGAGGAAGAGTACAAATTATAAAGCTATCATTATATAATTTTCTTTACCTCCCTCTTGTGCTATACACAAGCCTTTGGATTAATATACGATGTGCAATGTTTATAGTATTTAAGTTTGTGCCTAATAAATTAACATAGTAGCTGAAGGCAATTAATATATTGACGACTGCTACTTCCATATCATAATTCAATCTAGTGCAGCATTTCTTATCAGAAAATATGGTGAACGTCATACAATACATTTTTCTGCATCAGTGATGACAGAGTGTGAGCAGTTTCAAATTCACCAGCGGTAATCACCCATGTATGAGAATTTCAGTGTGAGTAGAAACAAACTGTTTTACAAGCAGTCATTATGGTTTTGTGGTTCTGGTGGAAGAATTTGATGAGGAGCAATTCTCTTCACTGCTTCACTTGTATTTTTAAGACAGTTTATAACCCCTAACAGATTCTGTGCCTGGTTGTTCCATAGGTAAAAATAAAAACAGGCCATGATAGCATGCTTCTTCACCATTCATGATCCTTAATTTATTTCCAGTTTAATGATGCTTTTTCAGCCACTAATATTGTATAGCAGTGAATGGTATGGTAAAGTTGTAATTAAACACCACACCATGAAGATGTATGGGGGATTGGAAATACAGCTCCGCTATTGTTGACCTTGGAACTGCATGGAGGTGAGTGGTCAGTTTCATGTTCCGGCCACTTTACCCTCAGGGAAGAGGCTCCGGTAACCACTGGATAGGAGGTTGGGTGGGTCCCAGAGCCATCCTGGATGCTGCGGAGGAGACAGAAATCTCTTGCCCTTGCCAGAACTAGAAGCCCAGTTGTCTAGCCTGCAGTTGAGCTATCCCAGCTCCATAGCATCGAATGGGAATCAAATGATTATAAATCAGTTAGTGTGATCAATGAGATCATATGGTACTAAGGGTGAAGTTCCCCTTGTGCTTAAAATTAAGCAGAACGCTGGGAATACATACAGCCGCCATATTGCGGGGAAGAGGAACTCTTAACACCATGCACACTTCAATAAGATAGGTGGCAGATCGGGGGGACAAGAAGTCAGCTTCACGCTCCATGCGCTTTACTGGCGGAGAAGGATCATGCAGTACCCACTGTGTAGGTGGTTGGGTAAGCCACTGAGCCGGTATGTGTGTGGTTGTGTAAATAAAATTATTGTCTTTGAGGTTGCCTGCTCATACCTTGAGTAGGTAACCTTAAAGAAGAAAGCCTCGTGTGTACGTGATCTTCGGTATGGTACTTTCCTCCCCGTACAAACTAACAAAAAACTCCATGGCCTGTAGTCCGCAAGCGAACTATACCGACCAAGCGACCGCCGTTTGTCGCCGAAGTTAGTGCCAACTTTAGTGGATAGAGGGTGTCGCGTGGTCAGCGCATCGGGTCCCCACGACCGTTAATCTCGGTTTTCTACACCGGAGCCGCAATTTCCTTCAAATAGCCCCTCAGTTATCCTCACGAGGCTGACTTGACCCCGTTCCAAGCCCACTACTTCTCACAAAATCTCGTAGCGCTGGGAATAGAACCCGGGACTTCCTTTGCTTCCCGTAGCATGTTAAAACATAATATAGCAATTTTCTAACGATGACTTAATGGAAGCACGGAATTATTTGACGCAACCTGAGAGATGTTTTAGACACAGTACTACGAAAATACTCAGCTGGGACTGACGAACTCCGGACAGGGAATCAAATCTGAGACCCCAGAGCACGACGTTGGAATACTGACCAAATAATCGCGACGTTATCCTTTTGCGCGGCATAAGTTTTTTTTGGTGGTGGTGGGGGGGGGGACAACAACAAAGAGCAGAGAGACTCTACTATATTTTCTTCTGAGTTGTCACACATGTCGATTTACACGTATAGGTTTATACTAATATTTCGGGGGAACATGCCGGCTCAATCTTCAGGGTCGAAGTATTTCACAATATGCTGACATTTCACTGGGTAAGCTAGTATCAGAGGATAGCCCTAAAACACAGGACATATCCATCCTGAAGCTGGAGGCAACATTCTTCTTCGAAACGTCGGTATTTTCGTACATCGACAAATACAGGTGGTGACAGAGGCTGGTCCTTTCATCACCAAATTTTTCTTACAGAGCATTAATTTTGCCTCCCCCCAAAAAAAGTTTCCCCGGGGGGGGGGGGTCTTGAATCCATAAACTTTCACTTAAGCACGACCTTGGACATACAGGAGAAAATGTGGCACGCAAACTAGACGAGGAATGCATATAGGATATTGGTGGGAAAGCCAGAAGGAAAGAGACCACTGGGAAGACCAAGGCGTAGGTGGGTGGACAATATTAAAATGGATCGTAGAGAGATAGGACGGTATGGTATGGACTGGACTGATCTGGCTCAGGATAGGGACCGCTGGAGGGCTCTTGTGAACACGGCAATGAACCTCCGGTTTCCATGAAATGCTGGGAAGTTCTTGAGTCGCTGCAGAATTGGCGGCTCCTCAAGAAGGGCTCAGCTCCATGAGTAAGTAAACTACAGAAACAAACGGAAATGTGCTGCCGATAAAAATCACGTCATTCTGGGATCTCCCTAATCCACTCGGTGGTGGTTTTAGTGGTAGAAAAGGAGTTCATTAGATCCGTCAAAACCCACAGCCATATTTTTCCCTATCGCATTTTTCTTTGTCTTCATGGTTCGCGAATATTTGTTAGGATATGAACTTCACAGCTGGCAGGTATCCTGCAGAACCAAACTGGCTGGTTGACTCTCTGTCATACATAGTGAGCATAGTGAGTGAGTGACGACCGCTGGTTCACTCACACAATCCATGTGCTGCAAGTATCAGGCAAGTAGCAAGCGTAAGAAGGTACGTGGCATTCCGTACGTTAACCATTCTCATACTGGCAATTATGGCTGATATATTTCAGTTTCATAGCGTAATGCCATGAGTAAAGTACGGATTTTTATGACAAATTTAAATACAAATTTGACGAACTGAGATGTAAATACGTGATCAATACGCTGCAAACTGTACCCTTAGCAAACTTTTCTGAAAATCAGGCAAATGACGTAATTGCGTAAAACGCAAATTGCATCGAATTATTTGAGACGCTGCAAATTGTACATTTAAACATTTTTTTCTGAAAAATCTGATAAATTATGATATTGCGTAAAACGCAAATTGCACCCAACTCCTAGAGATGTTACGAATAATATAACATTTTCCATTGTGTCCTGAAAAGAAATAAGACAGCCATGTTCTTTATCTATACAGCCTATGTAATCTGTATTCTATCATACCCCAACCCACGCTTGCTTTGCGTAACACAAAAACATATTTATTTTCTGTTTGAGTTTAAACACAAGAGAAAGACTACAGCGAAGCAATTACGTAATCTTCCTGATGATGACCATATTTATTGTAGGAATGGCATTCATAAAAAAGAGCGACAACGTAGTACACTAACAGTTTACGTACACGGCAAGAAGCTGTACTGCCCATCCAAAAGAGATCATTAACCAGTGCACCAGTACATCGAAATATAATATTGTTTTTTTTTCCTTGGCACTACAGCCCCGGTGGGCCTAGGCCTACCTCCAAGAACTTCGTTCACTTCGGTTTTTCTAGATCTTACACATTCGGTAGGACTCCTTGGGCAGGTGATCAGCTCGTCGCAAGGTCTCTACCTGTACACAAACACAGAAAAACGCGCACACACAAACTAAACATCCATGCCATAAGTGAGATTCGAACCCACGATCCCGGTTTCGAAGCGAGCGAAGACAGTACATGCCTTAGACCGCTCGGCTACCGTGACCGACATAATATTGGTTAATGTACTGTATTNGGTTATGGCTGTTTTGATTCTGGCAGGAACAACGATTTTCTTCCCTTTCCATTATAATCACACCGTTTCTGTCGCCCACCCAACCTCGTACGAGGTCTTTATATTGTAGAGGCGAGGGCACACCAAGGAAGCTGGCAACCGCAATTTCTGAGAACTGTTATCAACCTGAGATGAATACATGTTCCTGAATGGAGCAGCGCAAATTGAGGAAACGGAGCCCGTTTCCTCAATTTGCGGCTGCTCAATTCAGTAACATGTGTTCAAATCAAGCTGATAACAATTACCGGAAATTTCGGTTGCGTTGCGGTTGCCAGTTTCCTTGGTGTGCCCTCGCCGTAAGAGTTCCTGACAATATGTGCCAATGCGAAGTTCTCTCAGCGTATAACAGCACACACGCAGGGCATCATTCAGACACGCGTATTTCTATAAGACAGCGCGTTGACGGAGCATAAGCCATCGACGCTGACCGCAGTAATTTTAGCAGAACATATGGTAGCGGTGTCTTCGTTTAGCACAGTTACG